GTCACCGATTTCTATGCAAATGCACGTCACCAACAGAATCACCAACGACCTCTTGCCTCGCTTGCCCACCACCACCCTAGCGCTCTCCTGCCTCGCCATGCCACCACGCACCACCTGCCAAGAGGCACGGTGACGAGACAGGACATGCCACAGCCATTACCCATTGCTGCCTTTCGAGGAACACCGGAATTCGGCGACCCTAGTGCGACAACGCATCAGTGGTATATCTGGCATGCGATAACGATGATGACGTATCACCGGAGCACCACACGTGTATGTTGCCATCATTGAACAATGCACAAGGAAGCCTGCACGCTAGCCATGTCGTTGTCACCGTTTTGGACGCTGAAAACAGATCCCAGGTATCGCCAGGTGTTGGATCCCGCCAAGAAGACCTCGCTGCTGCTTTTCTCATGGGGCATCTCCGACACTTCCTTCCAACAGCAGAGAGAAGAGACCCACTACGGTGCTTTCTACTGGTAGTATAAAGCAATCAAAATCATTGATCTTATTTGATCAAAGGGTTCAGATCTATTTATACTACCACCCTAGTTAGTTAGCGGTAGTAGAAACGTGGAGGGACATTATTGTCAAAAAAAAAAAGTGCGGGGGTATAATCGACATTTAGCAGTGGCTAAACTTTGTCTTCTTCTTTATTTTTGGCTTTTTCGATGAAATATGAATGATGCCAGCACAATGGATGACTACATATTGATCTAGCCAAGGATAAACATAAATGAAAAATTTACCTCTAATCATTGTATTAGTAAATTACTGATTTACCTTTAATAACGAACTGTTTGGATTATTTTCTACTGGTAGTATGAAAGCACTGGCGTATCGCTTCGGAGAGAAAGATCTCTCGACTTTATTTCGCCTCTCACTGACCTTAGAGCAAGGTGTCCACGTCAAAGTTTCACTAGTGCAGATAACAAACTGTAATGGGAGTAACAGTTCACTTTGTTGCAAAACAGCGTGCAAATTCTTCTCGCCACCTTATCAATGCAGAACATGGATGCTACTCCACCAGGGAAATGTGCTAATGGTTCACTTGATGAAGTATTGAACCAAAGAAAAAACAATGAAAATAAAAAAGCAAAACTAGTTTAGACAAGACGCAGGACCAAGATACTTTATGTTTAGTCTTACTGGGGCATCTTTTGTTCTCTATATATTTTTTAAAATATAGCCATATATAGAATTTCAGTGTTGTAAAAATCAGAATATATGGGTTGTATGGGTAAGGCACCGGCACACGATTAATCTTGATGCAGACGACACATAATCCTTCACAACCACAAGCCCTCGCTTGTCTGATTCATCTTCAAGAAGCAAGGTAAAGGGCCGTCTCAGTTTGGTCCTGTAGAAGATTGAGAATTATTATTTTTCGAACGAATGAAATTGAGAATTAAGCGGCATATATAAGGAACTACGATCGCTAATCGATCGCTTAATCAGGGCAGGTGATAAATTAAGCTTTCACAAAAGAACAGAAAATGCCGTCCTCGATCGACTCCTGATTAAGTCGGTTTTTTTTTAGAAATGCAATTAGATGGGATCCCCATCCCAACCGTCATGAACGGGATAGGCCAATGACCAACCAATACTAATCCATCGATTCTCTCTCCTGCTCTCTCTTATCCACAAGAGCACGCGCTGCAGATCGGTCGGCGACGAGCTCCAAAGTGGCATGCGGCGTGGACGGCGCAGGACGTGGCTGCTGATGACGAGCTCCCGGCGTGGATGGTGGAGGACACGGCCGCCGGCGATGAGCTCGGGCGTGGACAGTGGAGGATGTGGCCACCGGCGACGAGCTGTGGCGTGGTGTGGGACGTGGATGGTGGAGGACGCGGTCGCCGGCGATGAGCTTCAGCGTGGCGTGGGGGTGTGGACGGCGGAGGACGCAGCCGCCGGCGATAAGCTCCGACGTGGGGCATGGGCAGTGGAGGACGTGGCCACCGGCAATGAGCTGTGGCGTAGTGTGAGACGTGGACAACGAAGGGCATTACAGGTTGGTGACAAGGTCCCGGCGCGGCGTGGGCCATCGATAGCAAAGGAAGTGGCCACCAGCGACGAGCTTTGGCGTGGGGTGTGGACGGCGGAGAACGCGGCCGCCAGCGACGATCTCCGACGTGGACGGCGCAGGAAGCGAGCGCCGCCGCAGACGTATCTGTGCCCGGCTCCTGATACTAAGTAGGGATCACCTGATATCTAGTAGGTATCACTCTGATATTGACGAGTATCAGGTGGTACTTCATAGGTATCACACATAATGATACTTGGGGTATCATGTATGAAACCTTCAGGTATCACACAAGATGATATATACCTAGCAAGGGATCATACGTAAAACCTTAAGGTTTCATGATACCGAGAAGGATCATGATACCTCCTAGGTATCACATGATTCTACTAAGGTATCATCCATGAAACCCGCAGGCATCATGATAGCAGCCATGATACTCAGTGTCTTGATGGTGTTACTCTTATTCACAGATTTTTCCTGCCTATCGCCTCGATCCTTAGACTTCGCCTTCTCAGCATGTTGTCCTCCCATTGGCATCAAGTTCATTGATGCAAGCTTTTCTACCAAATCTTGAATTGTTTTGATTGCAAGATCATATCCTTACAAAACACGATTCAGAGGATGTTTCACGGGAAGCAGAGGAGTCGACGGACGGCGAGGTGCCGCTGGAAGGAAGCGAGGAATTGAGCGCGGAGGCGCGCGATTACGAGGAGGTTTCACCAGGATGCTCGCGCCGGTGGAAGGAAGCGAGGAATCGCGCGATTCCTAGAAGGATTCGCCATGATCTGGAGAAGCCGACGGATGGTGCGCGCGCCGGCGGGAGGAAGCGAGGAATCGGGAAGCCGGCGTTTGGCGAGCGTTGGTCGTCGTTCTCGTTTTTGAGCGCTGGTTTTGCTACAATGCGCGCAAGTGGTGGGTGACAGTTGCTCAGAGCAATGCCTTATCGATATCAGAATCGTCCCTTTTTGAACAGCATTCCGGTAAGTAGCATCCCCTTTTCTACTACTACTTAAAAAATAAGAGGTGCTTCCATCGTCCGTCAAAAAAACCGGGTGAAAAAAAACCGGAACGAATCCGATTCATCAACGCGGTAAAAGAATATGTCCGATTCCACAAAAATAGAAATCAAACTCCCATCTGTTTTCGTTTGAGCTGATTAGAACTTTGTTTCTGTTTGGGCGAATAGGACTTGGTTTGAATTATACCAAGTCCTATTCGGTTAGCATCACCAGGAGAACAAGTGCATATATACATACATAGTATAAAAAATCATAGCACATAACAAAGAATCACATGCAGCCTTATAGCACTTTGCAAAAAAACAAAAAATTAGATCGAAGGGGGTCGCCGCCAGCACACATATATCCAAATAAAAACAAAAAATTAGATCGAAGGGGGTCGCCGCCGCTGCCGCCGTCGCCGTCGCCGTCGTTGCCGAACCGCCGCCGTCGCCGTCGCTGTGGATCCGGTGGAGGGGAGAGCACCGCCGCCGCCGCCTCCCCTCCCGCTAGATCCGCCGGCGGCGGCGGCAGAGGGCACTCTCCGGTGGTGGGGGAGAGCGCCGCCGCCACCGTCGGTGGTGGGGGAGGACTCCACCGCCGCCGCCGCTCGCGGGAGGAGGGGCGCCGTCGCCGCCGCTCGCGGGGCGCCTCCCCACCCGCTAGATCCGCCGCCGGTGGTGGGGGAGGGTGCTGCCGCCGCCGCTCGCGGGAGGAGGGGCGCCATCGCCGTCGCCGCCGCTCGCGGGGCGCCTCCCCTCCCGCTAGATCCGCCGCCGGTGGTGGGGGAGGATGCCGCCGACGCCGCCGTGGGTGGTGGGGGTGCCGCCGCCGCCGCCATCGGTGGTGGGGGAGGGGCGCCGTCGTCGCCGCCGCCGCTCGGGGGCGCGGAGGAGAGGGTGGCGAAGTGAGATGGGAGGGAGGGAAATGGGCTAGGGTTCCGCGGCTGAGAGGGAGTGGGTTTTGTTTCCCCACTATTGACGCTCGGCCGTCCGATCAAAACCCTAGAGATCGGACGGCCGGTGTCGTCCGGGCCGAAATCGGCCCAAGAGGGATCGAGAGTGAGGCCTCTTTTCCGACCCAAGCCCAGGTTGCGGCCTGGGGGAGGAAAAGTGCGCCCGCGCATGCGCAAAAGGCCGTGGGCCGACCGGCATAGGTCGGAAATAAGTCTATTGTTGGTCCCTCGAGCCGAAAAAAAGAGAATAAGTACATTTTTAGTGCTCATTTTTTCAGAAGCATTACAATTATAGTTCTATTGAATATGTTTATTTCGAAGCAAACCTATAAGAAAGTATTTTCTTTCTTTTTCCAATTAAATAATTGTTAAATGATGTTTGTATTAATAAAATTAGCAATTAAGCTCTGAAAATTCCAATAAAATTCCAAAGAGCGTAACTAATTATGGAGAATTTAATAAAATTAAATTTAACCATGTCATTTTATTTAACCATGGAGAATGGAGAATTTTACTTGTAAATTTATTTAATTATACACATACCTACTTAAAAATACCAAATATTTCAGCGAATTTGTATTTTAATTAATTGCATATTTTTCTGATCTGTAAACTTCCCGGTGCAACGCACGGGCACTTTTGCTAAACCAAACAACACTTTTGGTCAATATACACACTCTGTAATCACCCGGTGCAACGCACGGGCACTTTTGCTAGTTTTTATTAGAAGTGGAAACCCCTGATTAAGTCGTATGTGATGGTTTGCTGTGCTTTGTACGGACCACTTACAATACTACTACTTCCGTACTAAAATAAACTAATCTCGTACTAAGATGTGATAACGAATCTAATAGAACGTTGTATTAAGACGTGTCACATTTTAATACGAGGTTGACTTATTTTGAAAGTGCGGGAGTTTTGGAGTAGTATGGAACGACGACTTGGATACACTGTGTGCCAGACTGGCATATTTATTCCGATAGGGAAGTGTAAAAACCTCTTATTATCGCAAGATACACGTACGTATTGCTGCATATATACGGTCCCTCGCGGCCTCATGTCGTGGTATTTGTCTGCACCACACAACCGCGCTCTAATTGCTTCGATTTGGGAGTAAGCTTTACCAGGAGCAGTGCGATGGATTCCAGCAGCGCCGAGATCCTCATCGACCTCGGTGGCTTCCGGCTATACAAAGATGGCCACGCCGACCGTGCCGGCGGCATGGAGAGTGTGCCTGCCGGCTACGACGACGAGACCGGCGTCACGTCCAAGGACGTCGTCATCGACGCTGTCACCGGCGTGTCCGCGCGCCTCTACCTACCACCGTGCATCCAGCCAGCTACCGACGACGACGGTAAGAAGCTCCCGATCCTCCTCTTCTTCCATGCTGGCTACTTCGTCGTCGGGTCAGCGAGCTGGCCTCCTGTCCACCGCTACACCAACTCTGTCGTCGCAAGCGCCCGCGTCGTCGCCGTCGCCGTCAACTACCGCCTCGCGCCCGAGCACCTGCTCCCGACAGCCTACGACGACTCATGGGCGGCGCTCAGCTGGGCGGTGTCCGGCGCCGACCCTTGGTTGTCCGCGCACGGTGACACCGGCCGAGTCTTCTTGTCCGGCGCCAGCGCCGGCGGGAACATAGCCCACAACATGACCATCGCCGTGGGCGTGCGCGGCCTGGACGCCGTCGTACCGGCGCCACGCATAGAGGGCACGATCTTGCTCCACCCTTCCTTCTGCGGCGAGACGAGGATGGAGGTTGAGCCGGAGGAGTTCTGGGGCGGCGTCAAGAAGAGATGGGCGGTCATCTTCCCCGGCGCGAACGGCGGGCTGGACGATCCGCGGATGAACCCGATGGCCGCCGGCGCGCCGAGCCTGACAAAGCTGGCGTGCGAGAGGATGCTGGTCTGCTCGGCGGGGTTCGATCCGAGGAGGACAAGGGATCGGGCGTACTACGACGCAGTCAAGGCCAGCGGGTGGGGACGCGAGGTGGACTGGTTCGAGTCGGAGGGTGAGGGCCACCACTTCTTCGTCGACAAGCCCGGCAGCCACGAGGCCAGCAAGCTCATGGAACGAGTGGCTGCTTTCATTGCTGGCCATTAAACTGTGCTTCCAGCTGGATAATTTGCCTCGTGTTTCTAAGAGCAAGGATAACAGTAGAGCTCACTATCTACTATTAGCACATCTTAAAGCCAACACATATAATAGATTAGCTATAAGGTTGGCTATAATTTTTCTTTTCCTATCTCTATATCTCACTTATACATTTATTATTTTTGTCTTGGAGCTTGTGATAAGCTAGCTCTTGTATGAGAGCCAATACCTTTGATTTTTTGTTACCTCTCTACTCCATATAAGCTTATAGTAAGCTTATAGCTCACTATTATACTTGCTCTAAGATGTCAAAATGGTGAATAGTTTATCCCGAAGTGAGCCTTGCGATCACTCTGTTCTAAACGATAATGATAGAATCCGGTCGCCCGGACGGGGGAGGAAAAATCGGGCGCTCCCCCCGTCCCCCGTGCGCGGTGCATGTCATTGGCCCCACCACAGTTTCTGCCCCCACCTACAACAAATCAATCACATATTTTGCATATTTTGGAAAGCCTATGTTAAGGGAATTTGATTTATTTTTTTTCACCAAAAATGTTTCACCTAGTGTACTCAAAATGTTGCAGTGAACTGAAATATTCCATTGCAACAAAAAAACCCACATATTTTGGAAAACCCCCTATTAAGGGAATTTGTTTTATTTTTTTTGTTCCACCGAAAAATGTTTCATCTAGTGTACTTATAATACTTCACTCTGTATGGATCAAATGTTGCAGTGTACTGAAACATTCTTTCGCTATTTGCTGAAACATTGTTTTTATATAAGGTGAAACAACACCCGATTTAAACGAGTGAAACATTTTCGATCTACTTAGTGAAACAATTCCGATATACCTGGTGGAACATCGTGCAACATTTAAAAATAATTCAATAATAAGCTAAAAAACTTTTAGTCGGAATATATCCATGTGTGGTCTGAAACATTCTTTCGCTATTTGCTAAAACATTGTTTTTATATAAGGTGAAAAACACCCGATTTAAATGAGCGAAACATTTTCGATTTACTTAGTGAAACAATTCCAATATACCTGGTGAAACATCGTGCAACATTTAAAAATAATTCAATAATAAGCTTAAAAAAAACTTTTAGTCGGAATATATCCATGTGTGGTCTTGTTTTGAAGATTTAATTGCAACGAATTTAATGGTGCAATTGGATCATGATTTGGATAAGTAATTTAAGAGAAAAATCAGTTTAAATTAGTTTTGCACGTAAACCATGCGCTGACGTCATGCTGACATCAGCGCCCGATTTTTCTCCAAATCGATCAGGCGCCCGAACCGTAGAGTCGTCCTGTTCTAAAAGAAAAGGACTACTCCCTCTATACTCGTAAAGGAAGTCGTTTAGGATAATGTTTAAGTCAAACATTGGGAATATAAATCATAAATAACTCTCAAATTGTTGAGTTTGAAAATGTAAAAATTATATGAATAGATTTGTCTTGAAAAATACTTTCCAATAAATATACATATATTACTTTCCGATAAATATTTTTATAGGCCATGTCACTGTTCAAAACATTATACTTTCCAATAAATATACATATATTACTTTCCAATAAATATTTTTATAGGCCGTGTCACTGTTCAGAACGTTTTCTTTACTAGTACCTGCTTTCCGTCTGGAAGAAAACCTGTTCAGGCTGTTCACAGAAGCGTTTCACTTATGCAAACAACGAACTACTACCTCCGTCTTCTCCGTCTTTTAATAGATGACGCCATTGATTTTTTCTCACATGTTTAACCATTCGTTTTATTTAAAAATTTTATGCAAATGTATAAGATATAAATCACACTTAAAGTGCTATAAGTGATAAAATATCTCATAACAAAATAAATTATAATTACGTAAATTTTTTGAATAAGACGAATAATCAAACATATGAGAAAAAGTCAACGGCGTCCTCTATTTAAAAAACGGAGGGAGTATGACGAACGTAATGGTCTACCTTTTTCCAAACAAACTTTTCAGGCTCGCTATCAAAGTGCATCACCAAAGGATACTCTTATCATTTGACAACAATCAGGAACTTCCCCTAAATAACCGCAAACATCAGCATGTGTCTAAAGTTTGAAACCAACCTTGCAAGTGCATGATGCTATATGTTAGCTGAATGATTGAAATCAGACTGATGACTATATATTTCCACCAAGTAAATGTGCTGCTCAGTCATTTGAAAATGGTCATATGTAGCAATAAAAAGTGCCACTAGTAGTCATGTAGAACTGTAAAGGGTACATTTCCACAATTATTTGATACAATTGCTGACTGCTGAGATGCCCATAAAACTATCATTTGACAACAGTCAGGAACTTCCCTAAGTAAAAACTGGAGTGCCCAGAAATAGTTGAAAGCGAGCTACATGGCAAGTTAGCTTTGTGTCATAGAGTACTTGGTACTTTCAAATGTAGAAGCATGCAAGTACTATAATCCAGTTCCTCTTTCCAGTGGGTGAAAGTGAGATCACCAGATTAAGATCACACACTACATTCGAATCCAAAACTCTAATGAAGCTGGAGCCAGTTTAAAAGATAGTATGGACTACGGACAACAGGACTATGATCATCTTAGATAAAGCAACTATCTACAGTACATCCCTGAATTTCCCTATCAGCAGGTTTATGTCCGCAAGAATTGAATGTTGGAATGTGGTTGTTTTTGTTAATGGTTCATTAGAAATGAAGTTAAGGCTAAAAACTAGATTTGCATACGGTAAAACATGGATCCAAAATCTATTTAATCAATCTCAATTCTCAACCAAATGTCTGAAGAATATTGGTAAAACTAATATCTGCAAGCATTCCAATGAGAATCATTTGCAAATCAAGCACTCAAGTAGCTCGACAAACATAGAAGCAAAAGACAAGAACAAACAGAACAAGTAGGATAAGCATCACAAGTAGTCAATACTCAACACAAAACAGAAATTACAAATAAGTTCTAATAGTACGGTTCAAGTGCAATGTCTGTGAAGATATCCACAGCACTAACTGGCATCTTAGAGATCATGACCTATACTATAGGGATCATAAAAAGAAAAGGAAATAGTGGTGATCATTCATTGTATAACAGCTATAAATCCTTACTCAGCCATCCGCTGTAGCAAATGGATCATGGGAAGGTCCTACATCATTTCCAATGGTTCTTTGCACTAAGCGCTGCAAATCAGCCATGACCTTGTGCTCTCGCTTCGACTTCTCCTCATAATTAAACATAGCAAGCGCCCTCTTATCCTCTGCACTGTAAACCTGGTTTTCCTTCCTTATACGGATAGCATTCATCCTCTGGTGCCTACTCCCACTCATCACATAGCCCAAATCCTCGAACTTCTGAATCTCCTCTGCAGATAGACCAACCTCACCACGTCGTGGGATACGTTTCCCTTGCTGTACGTACTGTGCAATAGCATCACCTTCTCCAGGTCTCAGTGCACCACCATAGCTAATATGACCTTCTGCACGAGGAAGAGGCATTGGCCCAACCGGCATCTCATTCTCCAAAGCAGCCTTCTTTTGGGCCTCGAGCATTTCCTTGAATTTGATTGCTTCTGGGTCAATCTCTGGCTCATTTGTCTCATCGATTTCCTTAACACCAAGGTCGGCATCGGATGGGGCCTGATCTTCCGAATCAGACTGCTTGCTCCTCTTCCTCCGTGAGCTCCGGCTCTTCTTCTTACTGTCCCTCAAGGGGCTAGGGCTTGATCCTGAAGCCGCTGCCACCGCCTCCTCCTCAGAGCTTCCCTCAGAAGCTGTATCATTGCTCTTCCTCTTCTTCCTCCTGGAGCTCCTTCCCCTCCTCTTAGACTTCTTGTGCCTCCGCGATCTCTTCTTCTTCCTCCTATCCATAGAGTCCTCGGAATCATAAGAGCCCTCCGAATCCTCCTCAGCCTTGCTGTTGTCGTCACCCTCTGTATCAGATGAATGGTGGCGGCGGCGGTGGCGGCTACGCTTGCTGCTACGGTGACTACCCTTACGCCCTTTCTTCTTCCTCCGGGTATCATCTGATTTGCTGGAATCGGACAAGCTATCAGACTCACCGGAGTCGGATTCCGACGAACCCTTGCTATCCTCCTCTTCGCTCTTATCCGAGGAGGCCACCTTCTTTGGCGATTCCTTTTTCTCCTCCTCCTCCTCCTCCTCGTCGCTGTAGCCATAATCCTCATCCTCACCTTCGCGGCGAGGAGGGCTGGGCGTGATGTTCCAGATGCACCGCTTCATGCTCTTGCGGAGCTTCTCTCTCTTGACGCGGCGGTACTCGAAGTAGGTGAGACCCTTGAGCTGCTCGTCGTCGTCATCGTCGGAGGCGGACCAGGCGCCGGCCCCCGCGCCGCCGCCGCCGCGACGGGGCGCAGGGTGGTCTCGGTCCCGAGCCCACTCCCTCTCCACGTCGCGGCCACGGTCGCGGTGGTAGGGGGACCACTGGCGGCGGCGGTCGCGGTAGGGGCTAGGGGACCGGTCCCTGCGGCTGCGGTAGGGGCTAGGCGACCGGTCGCGGCGGCGGTTGCGGCGCGGGGAGGGCGACCGGGACGGGGAGCGGCGGCGGCGAGGGGAGGGCGAGGCGGAGACCCTGGAGCGGCCGGGGAGGTGCACCACGGACGCGAGGCGGCCCTCCGTGCGACCCATGGCGGCGGATCGCCGGCTTAGGTCGGATTGGGGATTTGGGGAAGCTAGAGAATAGAGATCGGGTTGGACGCGTCACGCGTGGGGGAAGAAGTGTGGAGGTGAGGGCTTCTCGGAGGCGAAGTCGGTTTGGAATTTGGATCGGCGGTATGTGTGCGTTATTGGGCTTGATGGACCGAAAGAAGGCAAGGGGTAGTTATGGACCTTAGCATAGGCCGATAGAGGAGGCAGCTAGTTCATATATTGTAAACAGCTCATTTTAACTCCCTCAATTATTGGCCGAATCTTATCCATGTTTCTCAATCGTGAAATCAGGTATATGAGTCCCTCATCTATTCAAACCGATTTAATTTGACTCCTCTAGTAGTTTAGAGGATGATTTTGTCCTACGTGGTGCCTACCCGTCAAATTGATTTTGTTATTTTTTGACTAATCAAATTGATTTTGTCTTCGTCTAACGTGGCATCTATCCGGTATTAATATCAGCTAAACAAATTAATTAATATAGTAACACCCACATGGGATCCACATGTTATAATGACCACTTTTTCTTCTCTCTCTCTCCCCCCTCTGTTGGTCTGCAGGGGCAACGATCGATGAAAAAGGAGCAAGAGGCAGATGCAACCTCATAGACAGGAGAGGCGTCGATGGCGCAGTGCAGCGGGGTGGAGGCCTAGGGCAAGGACGACGAGTGGGAGAGTTCTAACTTAGTGGAGGTGGCGCTCGGAAACAAGTTCGCGTTGACTCCTAGCGTTCTCGAGCAATCAAATCCGCGACAGCCGGCCATGCCATCGCAGCTGCTGCGCGCACCATATCTGCACGAGATGGCACTAGCCTACGAAGGGGAGTATGCGGCTACCAAGCTAGGTTATAACCCTGAAGGAGGCAATTTGATCCGGTTTTAATATTTGGGTAAAATTATATATCTGATTTTATAGTTGAGGAATGAGGATGCAGAACAAACTCAGCTGACAGTTGAAGAAGTCAAAATGAACTTTTTCTCATATGTTTGATGGCTGAAGTTGGGCTGAAATGTGTGTGAAGCATGTATCGATCTGTCAGAGTGATTTTGTGCGGGTGGGCTTTAAGGAGAGAACACAATGTAATGATGGGCCTCGAACTTGGACATGCCTGTTTTAGCAATTTCATTTCAAGAAACCTATTCGGCCGAGGGACTCAACAGAACTGGATTATCTAATTATCCAGTAGATTAATTGAATATTGCATGTATTACTATAAAGCCAAAAATATAATAAAAAAGAAATATAAGAAATACTATTTTTTTTAGAGAAATCACACATTCCAAAGCGTGGCATGAATAATCCAATTAACAATTGTCTGCATTAACTTAGTCAATTGTAAGATATTTCGGTTTAGTTTATCGGATGTGTGTTTGTATGATAGGGTGTGAATGTTTATGTTTACATGGGTGAGTGTATGCATATGTACATGAGCTCACATATAAAAAAACAAAGAAGGATAAGAATCATTTTGTTCCACAAGCTATCAGTTCTTAAACTGCTCCTAAGTTTTACGTGTTAGAGTTTGGAGCCACACAAGAGAAATTCAAATCACATCTACTCTGAACGCTATTCCTTCCTCCCCTGAGCCAAACAAACATTATAGCGTGACGCCGTGGCCAAACCGCCAAAGCACAGAAGTCAGGATGGCCAGGTTAGCCGCCGCCCATAGCTAGCCGCGTCTGCCAGACATGCCCGTACAAGTACGACCACCCCGAAGCCCAACCGTCGGTAGTACCGGTCACTCTGCGTACTGCACCGCATCGCACTGCAGCTTCCCGCCTGCATCACGCATGTTTCGGCAATGAATGCCCCGCACCTAAGTTCCCAACAACCGGATCGAGCTCAAAACAACGTTAGTACGTAGTACGCCGCGACGCCCGGCCCTACGTACGTACTCTCCTGCATGCGCCGGCCGCTGCAGCAATGCGATGCAGGCTGCCACCGCCTGCGCTGCAACCCCTCGTTGCTTGTCTCTCGTCGTCGTCGGCTTGCTGTCGTCGTCGTCGCGGGTACTTACGTACGGAGCAGGGGGGGCCGGCCGGCGGAGACGCGGAGAGCACTTAGCCGCCGGCCGCCGCGCGCCCAGGCCCCAGGCTATAGGGATAGAGCGATCGAGCGAGCAAACTAGCTAGCTTGGCCGGCCCATGCATGTGGCCCTCTTGCTTGGTCGGGCAGCAACACTGCGCCCGCCCCGGCGCGAGCCCCTGTAGCCCGGCAGAAAATAAATTTGTGTCCCGAGGCAGGCACATCCGGGTACGCTGGTGCACACCACATGACTGCGTTCGCAACGTGAATAAATCCTGCCCTACTCCTAGATGAATTGCTTCTTCTTTTTTTTAAGAAGAAGATGATCTGCTTCGGTATCTATTAGTACGGCCAAGAGCGGATTATATGTCAAATGACTTATTACCCCTTCAGATTGATAATACTTGTTGTTTCGAATTAGATTTTAGTTAAACTTTAAAAACTTTAACTGTAAATATCATCTAAAATATTTGTTATACAAATATGGAGACCATATGCATATATTAGTCTTAAAAAAGTTTTAATAAAATCATATATTTGTTGATAGTTTTATACATATTGTAATACAAAATAGTAGTCAAAGTTATTTTTTGAAGATCATGTCCTTATCTAAAACGATAAATATTATTAACATGGATGGAGTAGCTACTTAAAAAAATTAAGAAAAAAATATATTTATCCTTAACGACTTAAAAGCTAATTAATGTTGAAAAAGATACTACTTGAAAAATTATCTAAAATTAAAATCGATATTAAAATTTTAAATTTAAGTTTTGGCAGCGACTGATATGATATAGGGCAAACCGATAAGGCTATATATAGTCTTTTCCTTCTTTACTACATCCAGGGATTGTGTTAATTTTCTAGGTTAGTGGAGTTGCGTCGGATTTGGTTCATGCATGATGCATCATTGGTGATGAGGAAATGATCAGAAACTGGCCGGAATGATCCTAACCAGATCGTCATGATCGATATGGTTCTGGGAAAAGAATAATGTTCACGATCGAGATAGTAACCTGTGGTGTGGTCACCTAGCGCATAAGCCGTGAAGATGATTGGATTATATTCAGATATGACGTTGCCAGCTGGATTTGAGATATATGCATACTGCTTGTATTACTCCCAACGTCCACATGCAGTACAAATACATGTTCAAAACATAATTTCTCATTGACTTTAATGAGATATCCTTCGAAAGATATATTATGTCCGACAAGAATGTTTGGTCGCGTCATAAACACATTGATGCCTTAGATGGTGTTTGGTTGGAGGAACTAAAGTGGGGCTAAACTTTGGTCCCTCTCACAAAAGCATAAGTCCCTGAGAGGGACTAAATTTAGTCTCTAGTTCCTAAACACCCCCTTATTTTCTTCCCTTTTTTTACCGTGGTGATTAATTAGTAGTTATGAGCATTACATTTGACCATGTCGCTGGTCTGTCCTACAGGCTACAGAGCTACAGGACTAAGACGTCATGCTCCCTTGTGCTCTTCTACAGGTCCATTTCCAAGAGGAAGTGGTTAAGGTGCATGCATCCTGCCCAACATATTTCTTTCTTGGACGCAGCAGCATCCACCAGCCTTCCTCTCTTAAAACACTTCAAACGAAGGGTTGGTGCACAGGCCCAAATCAGGGCCAGGGGCCCCCACAAAAATGATCATGAAAGGGCACTTAAAAGGGGAGGCATTATTTGGATCAGAAAACTATATGTGCTTAAGCTAGCCGATGTATACAATTCCCCACATGTTATCCCCCTCTCAATTTCTAAACCACCACATATTCCAAATCAGACAGCCGTCGCGAGCACACCACCAGAGCTTGATTTGACATGTTTGTTCCTTGTCGTGAGTTTCTCTCTATGTCCTTCTCCTGGCCTTGCTTGGACCAATAACGATTTTATTCGATCGTTTCGTGTAAACATAAACTATTAAACTATTGTACAATTTCTATAAAGAAAAGTAATTTGATTTTGAGAGAAAAATGATTTGTTTTGTGACTTAACGGAATGAAAAATGCGCACACACACACGGAACACCCACGAATACATGATATGCCCCCTAATACAATCTTAAAAAGATGAAGACCAGTGATAAATATCTGACTTTTTCTTAAAAAAACGAAATTGTGTATGCGTAATATGAATTTTAGATTTTTGTTTTGAAGAGATTTTAGACTCTGTGTTGCTTTAACGGTAAACAACATCCATGCATGGAAGATTGCTAGATAACTCTTTTGAAAGTCTTTATGTGCCAAATCTAAAAAGAAGATTTATTCATTGTACCCTCAACGACTTAAACCAGCCCAATGTCAGAAAAAAAAAAGAAAAAAAGAAGAAGTGCACCAACATTAAGAAACAGAGTCCGGACGGATATGCAATTATGCATATAGGTAGGGAGACATAATCAGGGTATGAGGATATATGAACCAAAAAGACATAAAGTTACGTTTCCTTTTCAAGAGAAGGACGGGTTTTTCACGGACGCGTGCCGCAGCCCCATTGGCTGGATGAATTGTCCGGAGAGGACTCGACAAATTAAAGGCAAAGAAAATCTAAACAATTAACGGAAACCATAAGAAAATAAAACCAGCGTCCAAAAGTTCGAACCAGCGAGGAAGGATCAGCCGCGGGCCGGGGACACCGAGAGCGAGGTCACAATCAGATTCAGGAGGTTCACGGCCTGTTCTAAACAAAGACAAGAAACAACTGATTAGTTACATAATTGCATGCGAAACCAAAAACATAACATATAACTACTTGAGTATTAATTATTACTCCCTTTTTATATTTTAATGTATGACACCGTTGATTTTTTTACCAATGTTTAACTATTTATCTTATTTAAAAATATATGTTATTATTATTTATTTTACAGTGATTTGATTTATCATTAAGTGTTGTTTTAAATATTTTTTTTATATTTGTAAATAAGATGAATGTTAAACATTGATAAAACAATCAACGACGTCATACATTAAAATACGAAGAAAGTATAATTTTATAAAACATCTTCGATATAAAAAAATTTATACAAAATACAAAATACGTCGTTTAAACAATTTAGAAAATGTGCTAATCAAAATCGAGTAGATAGCCAAGCCGATCCGCACTTCAGTTGGAAGTACGGCGAGATATGGCGCCGTCCAGCTATAGGCCTATTGCCGAGCCGGCCTGGTGCTGACATCCCATTGGCGCGCGCGTGACGATGACGGCGACGTCGCTGTTGCTGTTGTTAGTCGCCGCTCCAACACGGCCTCCTCCTGCTGCTGATCTCCTCCTCCTCAGCTCGCGCCAATTCATTTCGCCCAGGAGGGATGCACCGATCATGCATGCACCTGACCTGACTCGATCGCGCGAAGAGATCTCCCGCGAATCCTATTCCCGGCCCGACCCTCCCGCGGCGCGACGCGTGGCGACGCCGACGGCGACGGAGCGCGACGGCCCACCGGCCGGGCCGCCGAACGTGGCGCACATCCAGCGGCCGCGCCCAGGCACGTGGCGGCGACCGGGCGACGGCCGGTGACCGTGTGCCGATCTGCGGCCGTTTTTTTGTACCGGTTTCGATTAATTAATCTTGACCTCGACCGGTCAGTTCGATCCGTCGCGGCGAGCGGTTGCTGTCGATCAGCTGAAGCCATGAGCGATCGAGCGCGAGGTTAATTGGGAGTTGTTGATTTTGCCGATCTGCCGCTGTTGCCGACAGGTTGATGCGCTGACTACGACGATCTCAGCGAGCATATCTATTCCCCCCGCCGCTGCGTACACAGGATTCACGACGGCCGGCCGGTGAGATATCTTGCGTGGGTCATGGAGCAAATTCGATCCCAATCGGCTCGTGGCCGTGAACCATGGACGTACGCATTACTCGATCAATCGATCGGAAAGATGCGGATATGTCTAGATCTGCAGCGAGCGTTTTCGTTAATCAGTGAGCTTTGCTAGTGCCACTTTTGTTCATCGTACGTGAATGAAATCCGAATCAGCGAGCCGGCAGCTTTATTCTTGGACCGAACCGATCAATGCTGTGCTATATAAAACGACAGGTTAACTTTACTTATCTACTTTTTCAGGTTCAACTATTAGCTTTTCACGTTAATTAACCACTGTAAACCTTTCTGCTTCGCGTGTGATCCTGTACGTGTCCTGTACGCGTGAAGTGTGTACCGAGTTCAGTCTAATTTATCAGAGGAGATTTCAACGTCGTCAGTTCAAAGGCGAGATATATAGGATATGGTCGGCCTGTCCTCTGTTGGTGCTTTCGCGAGGAAAAAACTACAGTATGTGTCGTGAAAACGACATGGAAGAGAAAGCGGCTAGCTATAGATAGGGGAATTCATGGATGAGATTACAGTTTCTGGATGAGATTTCGTATCTGGTGGTCCTGGAGCATGCATGGTTTGCTGCTGACTGAATCTACAGATCTGCATATCCTTAATTTATGTGTTCGGTAATGTTAACGGAAACGATAATGCTCTGGAAAACCGTCTCTGTTTTGTAAACCAAACCTCTGCCTTCTAACTAGTAGTAGTTGCTAATTTCTTTGCCTCAATAGCTTCTCTTCTAGTAGAATTTTGTTCTGGTGCACCCAAAAATAGTTAGTCGATCAGTTTTGGTTGACTTAATGAATGCAAAGTTGAAACTTTGTTAGGTCATAAACAAATCAGTACAAAGTACGTACTACTACAAACAAACAAGATCATCAATTATTGATCATTCACAAATCCCACTAGCTGTACGATCAGCGGCGACAGATATATCATAATATATACCATGTGATGCTTCTAGGAATGCCCGGTCCATGGAAGGACCATAATAACATACATATGTGTTAACGACCAAATTTAATAAGATATAAACCGGATTTGGTATTGAAATCAAAATGGATTCGACAAAGAGCTAGATTCGAAGATATGAAACAGGTTTCTTGTCTTTTATTCTTGTTGATTGCAGGATTAAATCAACTGGCACGCTCACGAAACTAAAAGCAAAATTTTGGACTTGCACAAAAGTTAAGCAAATCTTCCAGACCAGTATATGTTTTTCGCATCAATAATAATATGCTACGATCCAACGGCGCAGAGAACGCCGATCTACGATGGACCACTGGACCAACGACACCAACCCACTGCATGCGGCCTCCAGATCGATCATAATTCTGCAACGGTTTCGGAACAACAACAACAACTACCTAGCTCGATCGATCTTCTCCTTTGCCGATCGAGCTAGCTAGGCGAGCGGGCGCCCACTGGCCACTGTTTCCGCGTATTCTTGGCCGGTGGCGCACTGCTGCATGGACGACACTGCCACATGCAGGAAACCGATGCGCCCCGACACAAACGGTTGCGCACCTGCCGCGCGGCCGGTATGATTCGGCCGCTCGGCCGGTCTGAAGTGCTGCGGCTACGAGCTCTTCTTGCAAGCTATTTACCGTTGCAGGTGTACGTACATATACCACAGAAAAGCCTATCACTACCGAGCCATTGCTATACCACAGAAAAGCCTATTACTACCGACTCATTACTGCTGGCTCAGTGTGATTGTGTGAACCGGCACGTGTTCTGTGACAGGCAGTGTTACGTACGGAGCAACAGATCGAGTACGCATGGTACGACGAGGAAGCCAGCCAAGCCGATGGCCATGCATGGACGTGACGAGGAGGATCAAAGAGTACTGGGATGCAGGAAACGCAGATTGTTGAGAGGCAAAGGCACGGCAAGTACGATCTGTGCGTGCAGTCGTCCACACTGCCATTGGTGAGCGGTCAACTTAATTGGCCGTTTTAATTGCAAGGTCGGTTGTGCCGTACGCCGGCAAGGACGTACTGTGTGTACGTGTGTGTCCTGCTTTGTTCTCGTGAGAATTTGATGCATGAGAACGAAACGTAACTGAAGATAGATGACACTGTGATGAGGTACGGGAAACGTACTGCATTGAACAGGGGGGTAGAATAGAAGGAAATGTGTACAGTACAGTACAAGCCTACGGTCGAATGAAACGCGCATGCACGTACGGGCTGCGAGTCCAACAAAAGCTCGGAGCAGCCACGTACGTACGAGCTAGCATGCGGTAACGTACAACAGCAATAATAAATGGTACTAGTAATCAGGTAGTCTCCTACATCTTGTACTACTAATTTACACATGCATGTGATCATGCATGCTGCAGCAGCAGCAGTGGTGATTGATCGATCGACGACGACGACGGCGACAAGCATGTGAGACGCGATAGTAATGGGAAACGATTGTCTCATCACCATCTATCCATGTGGGAGCTAGTAGCGTGCAGCTACCACGGAGCGTGGTGCTGCATGGGTAAGGCAGCTGGGTAGGCGGCGCCGAATGCGGCGGCGCGGTGGGCGGCGGCGCCGGTGGCGGCGGCGGCGCGCTCGAGGGACTGCACCTGGGACTTGAGGAACTTGACGTAGTGGATGGCCTCGTCGAGCATGGAGGCGGTGTCCATCTTGGTGCCGCCCGGGACGAGCCGCTGCAGGATGCGGATGCGCTCGCTGATGCGCTCCCGCCGCAGCCGCGCCGCCACGCTCTGCGGGTCCTTGGAGATGCGCACGTTGCGCCGCTTCGGCGGCCGCACGGCCTCCGGGTCGATCTCCACCGGCTGCAGCGCCGCGATGTGGAAGATCATCTCCCGCATCGCCTCCGACGAGGACGACGACGACGAGCCCTGCGGCGCGCCGGAGTCGGAGCCCGGTGACGACATCGCGAAGTCCAGCTGGTGCACGCCCGCACCGGCGCCGTACGTTGCCGGCATGGAGTTATACTGATCCTGGTAACCGCCACCGGCGGTGGTGGTGGTGACCGACATCTGCGGCGGTGGTGAGAACTGGGGAGAAGGGGTCCCCATGGGTGATACCGGCGGCGACGTCGGCGCCGCCATGAACAGCGACTGGTCACTGAGCGCAGTGAGCTGCTCCAGCTGAAGCATCGTGCTCATCAGGTCAAGCTGCGATTCCGGGTAGGAATTGAACAAGTCGAAGTCCATCACTTAGCTAGGATATATATCGATCAAGCAACTAGCTAGCTAGCCAGGTATTGATGAGCTAGACACACGGAGCTTAGTGGAAAGAGCTTGAGATTGAGCTTGAGCTTGAGCTAGCTAGCAGGAGTAGTAGCTGTTTCAGTAAGATGTGAAGGGTTTCTTGCAATGGTATGTGCTGTTGTCAAACTGCAAGGGGGGAAGGCTATTTATAAGCAAGGAGCCTTGACCGTTTTAGTTTTGAGTGGACTACTGGGGCAGTGTAAATGCTGCTTCCTCTGGAGGCTGTAGGCCTGTAGCATCAGCTAGCACTCTCAATCTCTTTTCCTTTTGTTTCCTTTCTTTTTGGCACAATCTCTTGTCTCTCTTTTTTTTTTCTAATTTTAAATTTCCCTCATTATCCTTTGCCTTTCTGCTCCTTCCTGGAATGACACTGCAGCACACAGAGCTTGTTGTTGAGACAGAGTGATAGGACCTCGCTTTCCATCTTTTAGTTTTCATGAAAATGACATCTAAATAAAATGTCTCAAGGGAAACCGATCAGTCTGACATCACAAGATACCACACAACGAATGCCGACTAGTAGTTGTTTTAACTTGTTGTTTAAATTAAACCTTTTTCTTGGCACTGAACCTAATCCAACCTATTCCGCAGAGATCAACGACAACATCTCCTAGCTCGTTAAATATTAGCCGCGAGGAATTATCCGTTCACGATAGCCTGACACGTGTCCTTGCACACGTTGCTGTCCACGTATCTGAAGTGGAGCATAGCTGGCTTCGAAAAGGAGGACAGTGGGGCATAGCCTAGCTCCGAATCGGATTGATGGATTCTCTTTGGGCTTGTGTTCGCTGAACCGTTCTGCTCTTTTTCCACAAACAACGCGTTTATCTAGCCAGCCATGTCGATTGGTTTGGTGGTGCTGTGTCATCAAGCTCGAGGTAAAACAGAGAATTGCTCAAAGATTATCGATTTGATTGATATGAAAGAGGAAAGTTTTACCAGCCTTTGTTGCTGGTACGAAATGGAGTTTTTTTTTTTGGGTGCATAAAGCCCAAGTTCTGCTCTTAGATGGTCAATTATCACCCACTGATTGGATCACAGTGTAACAGTGATCAGAAGCTCTTCAATCTGTTTGATCAACACTTTCTTCCATATGAAATACTCCTATATAGTTTTTTTTCTAAAGATCGACTAATGTGAAATCGTTTCATTTGATTATACTCCAAGTTAATACATATAGTACGACCTACTTTTCGAATTAGTGTATCCATTCAATGATGTGCAACAAATTGTTGTTGACGTCCTCGGTATTGCTGGCCCATGAAAACCGTCTCTCTCGTGTATTGAAGGATTGTCCCCTCCCCCCCCCCCCCCCTCGTCCCATGCGTCTAAGAAAAACACTATTCCCTATGTTTCAAATATTACTATCTTTCCTTAGATATGTAGCTAAAAATAATTATATTTTAAGACAAATGAAGAAGATACCATGGATATCATGGGCCCTCAAATGTCACGCCCCGAACTAGTCCCGACCGGAACTAGCCCGTGACGCTCCAAATTAACCTGTTAATCGATACCAGTCCCAGGAAATAGTGCTGGTATCACAGGAAGACAGAATATCACAGCAACAGAGGTTTCTTTATTATAGAGTAGGAGTACAGTCATGTTAGGCTGCGGACAGATCCCGAGCTCACAACTGCATTACAAAAGGGAAGCAGAAGCCAAGACTTGGACCAAACATCACAGGCGCGACTTGGGAACTAGGCCGAAACCCTAAAACTCATCGTAGCCGGCTTGCTCCTGGAAGAACTCCTCGTCAGCGGGATCCGCTTCATCTTCTTCAGCGACTGGGGGGATTATTTATATAGAGCAAGGGTGAGTACAAGAGTACTCAGCAAGCCATGGGAAATAAATGTTTAATGCAGGCTTCAAATAAAGGCTGTTGTTTTTGCGATTGATTTTATTTAAACTCTTTTCTGAAACAACTAAGGGAGTGCTTCTCAAACGACACGAATGAGACAGTGCGTCTCGTCCGGTCGGAGTATGTGCAATGTTTCAGTCTTTTGAATTGATCAAGATTGGCACCCGGCCAACAGCTTTCAAACGGCCACCCGGGCCTGGCTGATCCCATCAGCCGCAGATTTTCCAAACATCAAACCCATTCCACAACAGCAAATTTCACAAGGCAGTAGTCAAACAAAACTACGCTAGGAATCACCTCACATCCGCCCATGACCGTGGGCACGGCTGTTCGAGCAGTTTAATAACCTCTGCAGAGGGGGTACACTTTACCCACACGACATTACTAACCCGGATCATCCAACCCGTGCAGAACGGCCACGACTAGAGACCTTAAGGCTTTCATGACAAGGCATTTCGAAAGTCGACACAGGTTCACCATATGCCAACGAGAGGGGTCCCAGACCAACACCAGATTAGGTCCCAGACCATACTGTGCCAGGAAGCCCAGGGGTCCTCCCCGACACCACCCCGGTGAATCCACATGTCTCTTAGCATCATGGCTCCTCCGATAAGCTAGTTACTCAGCCAGGGGTGTCCCATTCCACCCATGTGGTCGTACTTGTCTTATGTTCGGATGAAATTCCAAGGAAACGGTCCTTAAGTGCAAGAGCGGGAAACCGTACACCCGGTACGTTCCCCGGTCCGCGGTTTTGGAAATTCATTTAGTTCGCAAGCACCGACCCAGATGTCGGGTTTTCCAAGTCTTTTGTAAAACCCAAGTTTTACCCAAGATGTTTCTCAGATTTTAAGTTTGAAGGCGACCGTCGATACTCGTGCAGAGTGCACGATTACCGTGGCGCAACTAGGTGGTTACAAGGGAACATGGTGTAACAATTAACAAAGGAAGGATCAGATGCAACAAGTTAGGTAGGTCCGCCAATCTGCCTTGTAGACGGGACAAGCAGATTAAGTGCAATCCTATCAATGCATAATATTTTTCAAGCAACATAATTAAGTTCAAATATAGGCTCAAGATGTTCAAAGGTGGCTTGCCTTGCTCGAGATCTTGAGCTTGATCCTCGAAATCCTCGCACTGCGGGTCTTTGGGCTCCGAAACTACACGCGAAATGGGACAACTCAACAAACGGTGAAAATAAAGCCCTATTATTGACCTCTAAGCATGCCATTAGATAGATCTCGAGATTTGAGGAATTTTGGAAGTTGAACGGAGTCAAACGGGCTTACGGTTGGGAAGATATTGAATTTCTAAGATTATTGGATTTTTGGTCTAAATGAAAATGATTTATTTAAATCCTTTTTGAGAAGAAAAGAAAAGAAAAGAGAAGAAGGAGGGAGGGAAATTAGACTTTTCTCGGGCGGCTAGGGCGCGGCCCGAGAGAAAGGGGCGGCTCGGCCGAGCTTAATGGGCCGGCCGGCCCAAGGCGAGCTTACGGGCGGGGATGGGAGAGAGAGAGCCGGTGGGCCGGGTCCACCTTGCGTGGTCTCGGGTGGGACCCGCTTGTCGGCGGCTCGGCTCACCGTGAACGAGGTGCACGCGGGGCGTGCTAGGGTTTGGGGAAGGAGGCGCGGCGCATGCGCGCGGTTCGTGGAGGACGCGGTGCGGCGGGCCCACGCGCAGCCTCATGGCTCGCGGTGGACCGCGCGCGCGAGGGGGAAAACAGAGGGAAGCGGCGGACCGGGGTCTGCTTGACCCGGTCGCGGCCGAGGTGGCGCCGACCTGGCGCCTACGTGGCTGCCACGCGGGCCTGCTGGAGGAAGACGAAGGCGCCGGCCGCGAATGGACGGCGGGCGGCGGCAGTTTCTCCGGGACGCCGTGCGACGATGAGGGGCGACGGGGCGTACACCGGGATGACGAGGGAGAACGAGAGGGAGCGAGCCAACGGCTTGGATTCGCCGGAGGGAGTGCGTCGGTGGCGGATTGCGGCGGCGGCAACCGGCGGAGAGAAGAGGGGGAAACGGCGACGAGGTCACGAGGGGCCGATTCCCGGCGGTGAGAGCATCTACGCGGCTACGGGAACCCATGGCTAGCGTCGGATTAGGCGGAGCTACGCCGAGCGAGGACGGCGACGAGCGGGCGCTACGGAGCACGGACGGCGCCGGCGGCGAGCACACAGCGAGCGGCGGCAACGGTCGAGGCGGCGCCTGCTAGCTACGGGGGGGGGGGAGGGGGGGCTACTCGTGCTACTACCCGAGTCTAAGGGGAGGAGATGGAACGAGGAGAGAGAACGGAGGGAGGCACTACCGTGCGGGGGTGATGGGGCGCAGTGACGATGGGCCGATGGCACGGGAGCGATCTCTCCGGCCTCGGGCCGGGGAAGAGGAAGAAGATGAGCGACCGGAGTCCCCTTCCGCGTCCTAGCACGCACCGGCTCCTTCGGCACACGTGACGGCGGCGGTCGGCGATCAGCGAGACAGAGGGGACGGCAATGGCGTGGTGGAGCGAGGGCGAATGGGAGAGGAAAGGAAAGGGGGGGAAACTTGGGTTTATATGGGCGACAATGTCGGTTTGGGAGAGGGGAACCGACTTTGGACGGTCAAGCCAGCGAGCTGGCGCTCCGGCTAGCAGCCAAATCGGCGACAGGGAGGAGGGGAATGACGCCGGCGGAGGAAGGGAAAAAGGAAAAAGGGAGGAAGAAAGGGGGCTTGCCTCCTTGCCGCTTTGGGGAAAAGGAGGAGGAAGAGAGGGCGACGCGGCAGAGGGGGGGAGCTCTGCCTCCGTCCCTTGGAGGCACGCGCGGGGAGAGGCGGGGCCGAGTCGATGACGACGGCGATGACGGCGGGGCGGTTTGGAGTGGAGCGGCGACACGGGCAGCAGACGCTGGGCAGGCGCGGCAGGCGCTGACGGCGGCGGCGACTGGCCGGTCGGCCACCACGGCGCGCGCGCGCGGGCGGCGCGGCGATTTGGGCGGCATCGGCGGGAACAGCCGCGAGAGTGGAGAGGGAGAGCTCGACGCGGCTCACGGGCAGAGCGGGGAGAGAGAGAGAGAAAGAGAGAGAGAGAGCCGGGGAGGGAGGGGGAGATGGGCCGAGAGGAGTTCGGCCCATCGAACTCGAGGGAGGCTAAATAGACTTTTGCGGAGGGATTTGATTTGGGAAGGATTTGGATTCGGGATTGAACTCGGCAATAGATCGGGGATTTGAGATCTGAGACGGCATGGACACTAGAGAACAAGCAAAGAAACGGATTTCGCAAATAGGGTTTTTAAGAGATAGTT